GTGGCTTCCATGGTGACTCAGTGCCCCAGCAGATCTAGTGGTGAAAAACTGCCTTTCACCTCTGTGAGAAACACCTGCTCAGAGGAGAGGTGAAGGACACATCCTGGGAGTCTGCTTCTTTCACTGGTTGCCTAGGGGGTGTCCCATGCCTAATGCATTCTTCTCCAGGAGATGGGCACTGGGAGGTCCTAGAAGAGGTGGGGGGGTGCATCCATGGGGTCTGTTGCTGACCTGTTCACTCACATCTTAGGGTGCTTCTTCAGCAAGCAGGAACTGATAATGAAGTTTTTCATAACAGTTTGAGGACTCTTTTGAAAGCTGCTATGGAAAAGCATTCTGTGGGAAAATACACAAGGGTGGTTCTCATCAAGAGGTGGCCAACTCCACTTGCTGCTAAGGGAACTGTGATGGATACAAGTTAAAAGTGGCTGGCAAGCAATTTGGAATGATGGAGAGATTTTGAGGACAGAGCCAAATTAATCCTCTGATGAATGAAAAATGTAGACTCCAAAGACAGCATTCCCTGAGACACAGGCTTGCCCTCTGTGATAGATAGGCTTTTGGTCCCATGACCCTTGCCTCCTGGTGTCGCACTCATGAATATGCAATGGTGCATGGCAGATGTAATTAAGGTTACTAATCAGTTGCCCTTACAATAGGAACATTATCTAGTATTCTTTGGTGGGGTCTCTACAACCAAAGCCTTATCCCTGCTGAAGGCACAAGGGGAATTCAGAGAGATTTGAAGCTTGTTTGTAGATGGAGGGGAACAAATTTGTAAAGGAATGTGGGTGGCTCCTAGGAGCGGAGAGTGATGGCCAGATGGCAGCCAGCAAGGGAATTGGGACCCCAAACTGACAACCACCTAGAACTGGATTCTGCCAACAACCTTAGTGAAGCTGGAAAGATTCTCCCCCAAAACCTCCAGAAAAGACCCCAGCCAGCTGGCTTTCTCATTGCAGCCTTGGGAGGTAGTTTCCTGACCCAGGGCAACTGTGCATAATAAATGGGCATTATTTTAAGCTTTTAAGTTTGTAGTGGTTTGTTCCATGAGGCTGTATTAAGTATTCAGCATGGCTTTCCTGTTGTAAATGCAGCTCCTTCCAATGTTTGTGGCCCTTCAGTGTGGCTTTCTCCTCCTTGCTGAGGCCCTCAGGAATGGTGGGTGCTGGTTTCAGTGTCCATCAGGCTCTTGGCTCCCTTTGGTCAACTTTTAACTGTTTTCCTGGTTCAGCTTACTACTGTGGTTGCAACAATGCACAGTTCAACAGGAGGTTCTGCCTCTTTTGTCCTTTTCTACAGTCACAGACTAAACTACAGTCACAGCCTCTTTCCATACAGTCACAGACTAAACTCATTTCCTTCCTAGTGACATTGCTCATCACAAGTTGCATCTTTGCATGGCTGTGAGGTCCCAAGTTTTAGAATATTTTAGTTTTATAAGCTTCCACTTTTCTTTTTTGTCTTTCTCCTCCTCCATGCCCCACTCCACTCCCAGACTTTTGATGGAAAGGTATTAGAATTGGTTCTACAATTTGCAGGTCCAGATCATTCCATGCCACCTGAGTCACCTAAGCAGGAATGACTTAAAAGAATGTGAACTTGCTCTGCCATACCAGCAGACCTTCCTAGCATCTGTGAGGCCCAGCAAGGAGCTTAACAGCAGAAGACCCAGTTGCCAAGTAACATTTCCATGCACGTGGTGACAAATAACAATACAACAAGGAAATTTAAGGTTTGGACCCAGGAAACTCAGCTCTTCATTACCATGAACCAAAATATGGAATTGGCTTCATTGATTCAAACCCCATGATTTTAACTCATACCTCTTTCTTTTATAATTTTTCTAACTTGTATCATTGTCCATTTTTACCAGCTGAATTGTGTTTCCCTAAAAGGATATGTTGAAGTCCTAATTCCCAGTGGTTCAGAATGTGACCTTATTTGGGAGGCAGGATCTTCACAAAGATAATCAAGTTATAATGAGGTCATTAGGATGGGCCCAATCCAATAGGATAGGTGTCTTTATACAAAGGGGGAATTTGGAAACACACGTGTGCACAGGGAGAACACTCTGTAAAGATCAGAGTAATGCTTCCACAAACCAGGGAGAAGCTAGGAGAGCAGCCTGGAGCATGCCCTGCCCCAGTGCCTTTAAAATTTTTTTTTTCAACGTTTATTTATTTTTGGGACAGAGAGAGACAGAGCATGAACGGGCGAGGGGCAGAGAGAGAGGGAGACACAGAATCGGAAACAGGCTCCAGGCTCTGAGCCATCAGCCCAGAGCCCGACGCGGGGCTCGAACTCACGGAACGCGAGATCGTGACCTGGCTGAAGTCGGACGCTTAACCGACTGCGCCACCCAGGCGCCCCCCCCAGTGCCTTTAGAGGCACTTACCAACACCTTGATCTTGGAATTCTGGCTTTGGACTGTGGGACAATAAATCTCCATTGTTTAAGGCACTCAGTTTGTGGTACTTTGTTACAGCATCTCTAGCAAACTCATGCAACTCATTTCTTTATCTCAGGGAGTTTTCAAGCTTAAGCCATAATTCCTTATTTTTACTCCATTTATATACCTTCCCATATAAAAACAAATTAAGAAAAATTTTCAAAATTTTTTTAACGTTTATTTATTTTTGAGACAGAAAGAGACAGAGCATGAATGGGGGAGGGTCAGAGAGAGGGAGACACAGAATCTGAAACAGCCTCCAGGCTCTGTCAGCACAGAGCCTGACGCGGGGCTCGAACTCACAGACCGTGAGATCATGACCTGAGCTGAAGTCGGCCGCTTAACCAACTGAGCCACCCAGACGCCCCAAGAAAAATTTTTAAATTAAGGTATAGAAATTGTTAGTGAAAATATCCAATGTTTTACATGGATTGCAAAAATCTCCCATGCTTGCCCTCCTAAATTTGCATTCTGTGGTACCTGCACCATCATCAAGAGGGAAACAAAACATAAAGTCATCTTTAAAAAAGTGAAGATCTTCCCCCATGACTCAATATACCATGAAAGATTTTTTTTGTTCATTCCGATGTGGAGTATCAAAGCACGTTTTTAAGCTTTTTGTTCTCAGGACCCCTTTGTACTCTTAACATTTATTGAGGACTCCAAAGAACTTTTGTTTATGTGAGTTATACATATCAATATTTACTGTATTAAAATTTAAAGTGAGAAATTTAAAAAATTCACTCATTTAAATATGACAGCAATAAAACCATTATATGTTAACATAAAATATTTTATGAAGAAAATCTATACAAAACAAATGAAATTTAGTGGGAAGAGTTTTAGGTTTTGCAACTTTCTTTATTGTCTGGATTAACAGGAGACAGCTGAGTAATCATATCTGTTTCTGACTTCAGTCTGCCATGATATCACAGTTAGATAGCTTCTAGAAAACCCCACTTTACCCTTGGGAAAGAGAGTGCAAAAGGTAAAAATATCTTAGCATCATTATGAAAAGAGATTTGATCTTTTGGACCCATGCTTGAAAGGATCTTAAGGACCCCTGGGGGCTCCCCAGACTCTGCTTTGAGAACTCCAGTGCTATTCCACACTTTCTGGGTCTTTGAGATGTATTTATTGCACTGGCCCTGGTCACTGTTAGCATTAATTATACATGTTATATTCATGAATGTTCACTCCATCTATCCTGTCTGATGTTGTTACTGCATGGAAGGCAATCTGGAGCTGCAGGGTGAGTCAAAGGAATGTCGAAAAATAAGAATGAAACAGTGGTGGAATGGGGCTCAGTGGGTTAAATGACGAATTCTTGATCTCGGCTCAGGTCATGATCTCACAGTTTGTGGGATGGAGCCCCACGTTGGGCTCTATGCAGACAGTGAAGAACCTGCTTAGGATTCTCTCTCCTCTCTCTGCCCCTCCCCTGCTTATGTGTGTGCACGCATGTGAGTGCTCTCTCTCTCTCTCTCTGTCTCTTTGTCTCTCTCTCAGTCTCTAAAAATAAATAAACATTTTTTAAAAAATTAAACAGTGGTTAGGCCAGGGCTGTCGAGGGACCTGAAAGGCAGGATGGAGTCATGCACTCATCAACAAGCATTTCTGTAAATGTGTACTTGCTGTTGAGCATAAATAGACAAATAGAACAAGATCACTTCCTTCAATAAAAAAAAGTAAGATCCCATCAGGGGGGAAAGATAAAGCCAAAAGTTTAGTATGGGCCAAACCACAAGATCATTGTTCCATGGAGTAGCAGTAGAATGTCGGGGAGGATTGTTGCAGGGGGTGGATGGATCAGAGAAAGACATCTCCTATGGGCACATCTGGAGGATTTTCCTAGGGTGGCCCCAGAAGGGAACATTCCAGAAAGGGCAAAGGACCTGTCCTAAAGCAGGCAGTATTGAGGTCACAGCCAGGTTAGTGCTGGAGGTAGGCTGTGAGGTGGGGTGGAGGCCTGGGAACCACAGGATCAGCATCCCCTGGGAACATTCAGAAATGCAAATTCCCAGGCCTCACCCCACTCTGAACACTTTGGGAGTGAGCCCAGCACTCTAAGTTCTAACAAGCTCTCCAGGTGGTTCTGACAGGGAAGACAGTTCTAGAACCACTGTAGCCCAGCACTGGGTTAAGAGTGTAGGGTTTTGTGTGACTGTTTGGATTCTAAGCCCAGTTCCACCGCTTAGTTTAGCTTTGTGATCCTGAGCAATACTCTCAACCTTTTTGAACGTCAGTTTCTGCAACTATGAAATGACCTAACGATCTCTCCCTGACCGGCATGCAGGAAGGCTTGGATGGAACAGTGTGTATACAGAATTCAGGCTGGTCTTGGATGCATTCCTCAGCTGCTTCCATGAGCACTGTCCATGTATGAGCTGACAGACGGGGGCACTCTCTCTTGACATGAAGCCAGGCACACTCAAGTATGTCCCAATCCTCAGTTGACTTGCTTCTTGATGATTACCTATTTCGCCCCCCAGTAAACACCATTTCCCTTGTCCTTTGTGGTCCTCAGTTTCCTCATCCATTCCTCAGAATGGAGACCATGAAAGGCACTCTGGGGGTGAAGCAGGGAAGTGGGATTACAGGAGAGGGTCTCTCCAGCACACTGGCCGCCAACCTTCTCTCGGTCTTCTTCACTGCTGGTACTGTCCTTCTGCATGTCCTCAGCATCACTCTTCAGCAGGAGCGTTTCTGGGTGCTGGGCACTGTTTCCCCTACTCCTTCGCACGCAGTACCATGCCATCAGCGCTCAGGACTATAGTGGGAAGAAGCCTTGCGGTGTTCCCAGAGGACATCTGAAAGCCCTACCAGCACCCGCCACTGGCATGGACCCGCCTCCTGATATGCAGACTCAGCCACACTAACTGCGGCGCCTCCTGTTCAGAAAGCGCCGGGTGTGACCAAGTTGCGGAGGCGTGGCCTGGGAGTGGCCTACGGCGATCTGTGCGGTCGCCAAGTGGGCAAATTGGAGTCCGAAGGCTCTAGGCCAGCAACCGCGGGTTTTACGTAGGAGCGTGTGCTTCCTGCGCCTTCCCAGAGCCAAGACTCTGACTGACAGCAGGGCTGGACTCCCACAGAGTAGGACTGCGGACACCCAGAGCATCCAGATCCTCAGCGGGCCTATACAGATGCAGGTGCCAGGGCTTCATTCTAAAATGACTCCAGCGTGAACAAGCTCAAGAAGTAATGACTACAAAGGGTAAAATTATGGAGGCGCAACACATGTAAGGAGGAAGAGGGCATGGGTTGCATTCCCAGTCCTATCAAAGACCTCTTTCTTCTTACATGTGTTGAATCACCATAATTTCCCTTTGTAGTCATTACTTCTTGAGCTTGTTCAACCTGGAGTCATTTTAGAATATATATGATTTCACAGGTTGAGCTACATGAGTATCTCCTCACTGAGTGCATATTCTGGTGCTCAGTGCTGTGGGAGAGCTAGAACAAATAGATGATGTTGCCTGCTCACTTTCATTTAAGTATTTATTATTGAGCTCCTACTGTGTGTCCACAGCATTAGGCTCTGAGGACACCACAGTAAGCACCAACTCACACAGCCCCTTGCCTCAAATAGTGGGGGCAGCGACATTGCTCAAATAACCACACAATGCTATTTACAGTCATAGCCATCAAACTGAGAGGTCCCCAGGGCAATGGAGGTGCATGAAAGGGAACTGGCTTAGTGCAGGTGGTCTGGAAGACTTCCCCAGGGCAGATTTGTACACATATATACAGAGTGTGTGCATGTAAACCAAGGAACCAAGTATTTATCTGTTCAGGGCTGACAGAAACTGCACTCCTAAGGCTTTCTCAGTGTCCCTGGGGGACTCAACTGACACCCCCCTCTCCTAAATATGTGTGTACTTAGCTATTCCTAAATCACATGCATGTTACAACCATAATATAGTATGTACTACACTATAAAATATCTACAAACTAGACATTCAAAATGATGTAAGAACAATAGAAGCTGCCCTATTGTCCTCTTCTTCTGCCCCCACTCACCTAGGGCTGCCACCTGGTTTGTAGACTGCTGACCTTGAAGATTGGGCATAAGCTTAGTAAGCAACATTTGGAACTGGGAGAGCACGTTGAGAAGAGCAGGCCAAGGAACAAAGCCTGGGTATAGGAAAGGTTCCTCCCTGCCTGGAACTTCATTCATTCATTCATTCATTCACTCATTCATTCTCCAGCCTTAGCACTGTGTGTGGGCCTATGGTACCAACTCCAGAGCTCTTGTTCTTCCCTCTGGGTAGTTGTTAACAGCAACTTAGCTTTATCCTTGCTGTGTTCACTCTCTGGCTCTGGCTAAACATTTTTAAGTATTTATTTGTTCCCTGGCACTGTGCTATGCTCTAGGGGTACACATATGGCAAAAGCATCATCTCTGCCCTTGTAAGACTCTTGAGGGAAGCAGACAGTGGACAGGCCAGTGCTACTGGAGCACAGAGGTGTGGCCCTCAGCTGCATGTGGGGATTGAGGAGAGGGCTCCTATAGGACATGCCAACAACTCCACAGGTCCCTGGTAGAACTCATGACCTCCCCCACATCCCAATAAAATAAGGGAAGAAAATAAAGCTTTTCTCTTCATTTTATATCCCCTATTTTGATTATTGGCCTCCACACAGTGACCCAGCTAGACAAGACCAGTCCAGCATATTCCTTGACTGCACTTGCTCACTCAGAAATGCTCACTGCCCCATCTCCATAGTCCACACCCTGATCCCAGCTACAATCTGGCCTTTCTGGTTCCAGTTGAGTCCCTTTGCACCACTTAGGGTTTATCCATCACTCTGTAGCTAGAGTGAGCTTTATGACACAGACTCCTGACCTTGTCACTCTCTTGCTTAAGATGCTTCAGTTCCCCCATTCTTTTAGGATCAAATCCATGTTTCTTTTTTTTATGTTTATTTATTTTTGAGACAGAGAGAGACAGCATGAACGGGGGAGGGGCAGAGAGAGGGAGACACAGAATCCGAAACAGGCTCCAGGCTCCGAGCTGTCAGCACAGAGCCCGACTCGGGGCTCGAACTCACGGACCCTGAGATCATGACCTGAGCCAAAGTCGGCCGCTCAACCTACTGAGCCACCCAGGCGCCCCCCCAAATCCATCTTTCTTTTTTTTTTTTTTTTATTTTTGGGACAGAGAGAGACAGAGCATGAACGGGGGAGGAGCAGAGAGAGAGGGAGACACAGAATCGGAAACAGGCTCCAGGCTCTGAGCCATCAGCCCAGAGCCCGATGCGGGGCTCGAACTCACGGACCGCGAGATCGTGACCTGGCTGAAGTCGGACGCTTAACCCACTGCGCCACCCAGGCGCCCCTAAATCCATCTTTCTTAATGAGATTTAAAAGGTCTCTTCTGCCACAGAAAAGTATAAAACCAAATCAGATCTTGAGAATGGCAAAATACATCATCAACAAAGTCAAAGAGCAAATCAAAGACTAGGAAAAATCTATTTTCAAATCACATTACAGTACGTGATAAGCTCCCACAGAGAAAAAGATGAACCACCTACTGGGAACAATGGGTAAAAGGTATGAACAGACTGTCAAATGAGAAAGGAAATAAGGATGCTCTTGAACATGTGAAAAGATGCACACCCCCAGAAAAGCAAAGAGAAACTACACTGAGACACTATTTTCACCAATCTAATTGGCAAAATTCTGAAGGTCAGATCACACAGTACTGGTAAGGTTGAGGGGATATAGAAACCCCCACTTGTTGTTGGCAGGAGTAGAAATTGGTACCACTCCTATGGAGAGCAAGTTGGTAGAATTCACTAAAAAGCCAAACGTACAAAGCTTTTGACCAAATTATCATACTACCAGGAATATTTATTCTATAGATAAACCTTCTCATGGGTGAAAGAAGTATATATAAGATCCTCACTGCCACATAGTTTGTAATAGCATGAGATTGGTACCCCCTAAACGTCCACAATGGGAGATTAAATGATTAAGGCATATCCACACAATGGATTAGCATGCAATGTACAAAAAGATTGAGGCAACATCGACATTGGTATGGAAAGGATTTCAAATTGTGTGAATGTGTGAATGTGTGAAAGGAGCAGGGTGCAGAACAATGTGCCTTATATGCAGCATGTCTTTTTTCTCTCTCAAATCTGACCCATTGCCTGTTTTTGTATGACTGTAAAGTTAAGAATGGTTTTAATATTTTTAAATGGTTGAAAAAAGTGAAAGGAATAATAGTATCTTGTGACATGTGAAAATTATATGAAATCCAAAGATTGGTGCCCATAAATAAAGTTATACTGGCACACAGCCATGCCAATTCATTTCTGGCAGAGTTGAGCCCACAAAGGTAAAAATATTTACCCTTTGGCCCTTTACAGCTTGCCATCCCCACCTTTAACTCACTGTGCTCCTTTTTGCCTGTAAGTGCTTTTCACTGCCTTGTATTCCCACGTCCTTGGCCGGGCTAACTCCTACCCTTTTTCTGCTTAGAGTGCCCCTGGAAGACTTCCATACTGGCTGTGTGGGGGAGCTGTCACTTTCTATTGTCCCCTGACATCCCCTGTCTTGGCTCTCAACAGCACACACCCCCTGACTTACAAATGCATGTTTCAGCATCTCCTCCACTAGGTACTGGTGTGTGTGTGCTGTGCTGAGGGTGTGTGGTCATTCCAGCTCCCAGTCCAGTCATTGGCATGGTGTAGGTGCTCCAAAAGTGATTATTGAATGGATGAATGTGTCTCTGTGCTAAAATTAAATAGGCTTTCAGTTACATAAACTTTAGAACTCAATTTTGTGGCCAACTGGTATAACTCAGTTTACATTCCTGTTTCTTCAGACACTGGAAAAGAAAAAGCAATGGTCCTACTGACCTTAACCTTCACTTTTTCCAATCTAGACTGAATCAATCCAAAGGATAAAAATGTTTTGCCCTCTACATGTGTATATATATTATTTTTACTCAGCATACAGCACTGACTAGGGGATGGGGCCTTGTTAATACTCTGGCAAGTTGGAGAGGAGGGAGGAGTCCAGGCAGGCACACACTAGCAGTGGGGGTGGGATGGGGTGGGGGTGGGAGTTGAGAGTGGGTGTGTGAGCCCATGCTGCTAATGGAGCCAATCGCTATAGGCTCCCAGTCCACACACTGCAGTCTCACTCAGCAGGCTACATCAGGTCAGGCTACTCAGGCTAAGCATTCTGGGAACATTGGAAGAAAAGACTCTCTTTTCAGTAATTGCCAAGGACTATATTTACTTAGTAAACTTCTAGCAGGTTGGTGATGTCACTGTCCATAAAACAGCAATAGTGGAGCTATTTCTTGAGGCTCCTTTCCCTTGTCCTGGGCTTTCGTCCCATGGTTTCAGGATGCTGGCTGTGGTGCTGCAGGCCCAGCTGGCACTTCATCCACAAGACATCGCTGGATATTGAAAAGCTTTCCCCTCAGATGGACTGTGGACGAGAAATATTGGCACAAGGTGGTTCTAACTGGTTGTCAGCAGCTTCAGAGTTTCTCAAATCCCTGTGGTTAAAATTGCTTGTCCTTACTTGTAAAATGGAGTTTCAGTGTGCCAAAATTAAAAATGCTTAGCTAGCTTTTCTTTTTCTTTTTTAAAATTTTTAACTGTGATAAAATACACATAACATAAAATCTGCCATCTTAATCATTTTAAGTATACAGTTCAGTAGTTTAAGTATATTCACATTGTTGTGTAACCAATTTACAAAACTTTTTCAAAACTACAAAATGCCAAACTTGTAAAACTGAAACCCTGTTCTCATCAAACAACAACTCCCCGTCTCCCTCCCCAGCCCCTGGCAACCACAATCCCACTTTCTGTTTCCATGAATTTGATGACTCTAGGGACCTCATAGAAGTGGAATTGTACACTATTTGTCCCTTTGTGTTTGGATTATTTTACTCAGCATAATGTCCTCAAGGTTCATCCATATTATAGCAGGAGTCACAATTTCCT